AATGAATTGACTTGTATCACTGAAGGCAGGAATATTCATAATAAAAGCAAATTGATAAATTTACATCCTTTTATAGATGAAAAGGGTCTCTTACGAGTAGGTGGCAGGTTGAGACATGCTCGGATGAATCAAGAAAGAAAAAATCCAATAATTATTACGCAAGGCAGATTAGCAGAGTTAATAATCAATTATGCACACGAAATGACGTTTCATGGAGGAGCAAAGTTGTGTATATCATTTATAAGACAAAAATATTGGATCCTTGGCGGAATACGTGCTATCAAAAAGCAAATACGTAATTCCGTGACGTGCCGGAAACATAACCCCAGTAAATTGCAGCAGCTCATGGGTGATTTGCCAGAAGCAAGGTGCAACCCTTCACCCAGAGCTTTTTACCACACTGGAGTAGATTTTACGGGATATGTTTTGATTAAGACCAACAAAGGCCGAGGAGTAAAGACCACCAAAGGATACATAGCAGTCTTTGTGTGTATGGCCACAAAGGCCATCCACTTGGAACTAGTATCCGATCTCACAGCATCATCTTTTCTAGCAGCCTTGCGTAGAATGGCAGCACGCAGAGGATCGCCCCGTCACATCTACAGTGACAACGGTACTAACTTTGTAGGGGCACATAACATTCTCCAAAAAGAGTTTGAGCAGCAAGTCAGTAATGAAGAGGTGATGAAAGAAGTTACTGAAATGGAAATTCAGTGGCACTTTAACGCCCCTTCCTGGCCTTCAGCCGGCGGGTTGTGAGAAGCAGCCGTCAAGAGTCTAAAGTACCATTTAAAACGGGTCATAGGCGATCAACACCTGACGTTCGAGGAGTACTCCACCATACTAGCACAGATAGAAGCATGCCTAAATTCGCGACCTCTATGTCCAATTTCCGAGGATAAAGACGATTTGGATTACCTAACACCAGCACACTTTCTGACTGGAGGATCAGCACTAACAATAACAGAAACCGAAAGAGACCTTCGAACTAGATGGCATTTAACACAGAAAATTTTCCAAGACACGTGGAATAGATGGCGCATGGAATATCTCGACCAGCTTACTGCCCGAAGCAAGTGGAAAAGAACTCAAGATAACATCAAGGTCAACGATATCGTACTCATTCATGATGATAACTTACCAGCAGGCAAATGGTTAATGGGTCGTGTCGTCGAGTTGCACCCAGGAACAGATGGTTACGTCAGAGTAGTAACCCTTAAAACAAAAAATGGTTTCATTAAGAGACCCGTCATTAAATTATCAATTTTGCCGATAATCAATACAGAGGAAAATAAAAATAAAACGTCATCAAAACAGCAACAATCAGAACCGAACGATATTCATAACCGAAAATTTTCATTCAATTCTGTCGTCATGGTATTATTATTTTTTATGACAATTATAGCAAATGCATCCTGTTCTTACGACATATCCGAAATTCAAGACAAGCAAATGCTATATTTCGATAAAGTTTCCAATATGAGATTAATCAGAGACGAATGGAAAATATTAGCGTTTTATGACATGGATCCTTATCAACAAGGAATAAATGCTCTAAGTAAATATATTAAATACTTAGGTGATCAGTGCATGAAAATAAACAAAGGTGTCCAATGCGACATACTCGTGTTACAGTTACATCACGGGTATAATGAACTACAATATTATAATCACATGCTGCTGAGTCAACACTCGCGCACGCGGAGACAGCGGCGCGGCCTGATAGACGGGGTCGGCTACGTCGCAAATGGTCTATTCGGCGTGCTAGATCAAAGATTTGCAGAGCAGTATAAAAGAGACATTGAGCTTATCAAAATAAATCAAAAACATATGGCATCGTTGTGGAAAAATCAGACTTCTATCATTGAATCAGAATACGACGTCTTGAAAAGAACAGAAAATTTGATTGATAAATAGCACAAAGAAATAAATCAACATCTATTGCTTTTGGACGCGGCCGCTAATAAAATGAAACAAGAAATGCAACAGCAGCTTGATATAAACACGTTTACAATCACAACAGTTATAGCCAACAACATGCTGCAAAACTTAAGAAATATACAAGACGTATTATCCGATACGATAATTGATATTTACCATGGTCGATTTAACCCACACTTAATATCGCCGGAGCAACTGAAACGCGAATTAAGCAAGATAGCTAGTCAATTACCAAAAGACTTAGCCCTGCCAACTGATGACATACAAAGCGACATTAAAAATATTTATCAAATGCTATCAGTAAAAACAAGAACGACAGAAGAATATTGTCTTTTTGAGATAACGGTCCCACTGGTAAGCCACGACTTTTTCGAAATTTATAATTTAATCCCTATTCCTCAGCAATCCCAGAATAACAAAATCAGCATAATGCCAAAAACAGCATACATTGGTATCAATCTGAAAAAGATCTTTATATTACTATCACCGAAACAGAGTTAAAAGAATGTTTACATATCTCAGAAATCTCTTTGTGTCGATTACAAAACTCTATCAATCACCTCACAAATGATAATGACCTTTGTGAATTGAATTACGAAACTCATCAATGCGAATTTAAAATAAAGCCCTGCAGTAATGAATGGATAAGAATGAACAATTTAAATACGTTTGTTTACTTTTGCTGCGACGGGTGTCAAGTGCGGATACTATGCGAAGATCAAGTTACCGCTCAACAGCTGTCTCGCGCTGGCATTATCAATCTCGGTCAAGGATGTATGCTAAAAACAAGAAATTTTACCATATATGCACATAGACAAATGAGTAGTGATTTGAAAATTGTGTCGCAACTAGACAGTCCTTACTACATACCTCCAATTAATCACGTGATGAACTTTTCGCTGCCTCAACGAATAGAAAGCGCAGATCAGTCAGCAATACTAGAAACGCGAGAGAAAATGAAGGAAATACATGAGAGAATACGTGTTTTGCAAGGCAATCAGGAACAATTTGATAAAATATCATATCATGATGTGCATCACTACACAGCAATTTACGTAGTGGTTGGCATTGTTATCATACTGGCCTGCCTGGTCGTATGGCAGTGGCGAAGGTACGCAGTATCTCGCCCTTCTAGTGGCGAGGTAACCAGGCGAACCAGCGAGGTGGCCGCAGCGCCGGGGACTCCGCCCCAGGCGCCCGCCACCTCCACCAGCAACACTAACAGTGATAAGTGTCAGTGTAAGGTACTAAGTGCAAGTGAGCGCCGTAAGAAAATAGATAGAGGCACTTCGCCTTTTCTTAAAAAATCAGTGTTCAAAGTGTGTGAACAAATAGTATAGTGTAAAAAAAAAGGGACTTCTTTTATCAACTTTTAGAAACTTAAAGACTTAATAGATCAACATATCTCATCTATGATTTTAATAGTCTTAATCTATTTTTTGTTAAACTTTTCTTATCTTTGTCCCCCGGGAACATGTACGGTGCAATGACCGTACATTCCGCGCGGTCAGCGGTTTACGCCCTCGGCGACAATTTTATTATAATTGTAAAATCAGTTCACAATCAGCAATCGACGTGTACTCATTGATCATTATATTTAAGCAATATTTTAACATAAGTTGACGTGTAACTTTACATATCAATAAACGGTTAAATATCATTTTTATCTATCATTTAATGTACGGGATCCGTACAATAGTCTATAAGTATAATGATATCAGGTTCTTTTATTAATGAATGTTTTTATTCGTCATCACATGCAATGATGGACGGCAATAATGTGTGATAGTAACACTATGATGTACCCGACAAGACATGCGAATATTTTAAATTTAAATTTATTATTAAGAAAAATGTACCCGGAATTATTTTTTTAAACAGCTGGGAGTGAAAACTTAACACAGAGTGTACCAGCTGTGCTAACTTGATTACAGACAGAAAAATAAAGTCTCGTTTCCAAGCCATAATTCAATCTAGAGGATTGAATTCTAGCTTAGTAACAAAACTTCATTTTTCGAGAGATGAAAAAATAAATAAATGATAAAAAAAAATATGGTAATGTATGTAGAGAACCCAAGCAGGGATTTTGGGATTTACTCGAGCGCAACAGAATAACATAAGGGCGGCAACCTTGCGCCTTGTGAAGTACTCCCATCATACCAGGGACCTTTATATAAGGTAGAACGTGCAGGGTAGCAAAAATTTTCTCTAAAAACGGCCACAACTTTTAGTCGCATCCAAATAGTCTTTTAAATAGCAGCTACTGCAAGGGCCCAGAGGGCCCAAACTTCATCATCCAACTTTGGATATAATGTAGGATCGTAGTATATTTATCAAGAAGATTCAAACAACAAACTCGATGAAATTGAGTCGTTTTTCTACGAAGTGTCCTATTCTCACCTCCCGGCTCTTTCGTCAGATTTTATTATTATATTCCATCGCCATTTTTATGTAAAAGACGCCAAAAGCTAACCTATGGCCCGCCCCGAGTTGCGGCGTTTATATGGCACCGGTTTTTCATTAGGAGGGTGTGTTGCTGGAGTCACTCCAGCTATCCCAGTTCCGTACCCAGAGCTTTCATAATGGTGATTGCCTCTTGGGGGTTTCCTGGTGGTAAATGGTTGCATAAAGACTCTTGCGATACTGTAGCTATAGTATCTATTACTCGTGCGTTACCTACCCGAACACCATGCCCATTACATAAAACACAACACCGCACCGTAAAGGTATTTTTATTTCACTGCGGTGGAGTTATACTTGAAAAATAAGCTTACATATTTCTTTGGCATAAACACCCAATTACGTCAGCTTACCATAATTCATATACCACATTTCGAAAACTAAAGAATTATTTTTGAGCCCGTTGTTATTGAAATGATCTATTGTATTTGTAAATAGAAGATTTTGCGGAATTAGTTAAGGAAAACTTGCTGTATTAAACTTTGAGACATAATTTTTCGAGAAACAAAAGAAGCGAGTAGCCGAAAAATCAGCAGTTTACGTGTGAACCAAGCGTTATCAAAATAGTTCAGCATATATAAAGGTTCCCGTCAGTATTTCGGCTAGTATCCGACTGAATTTGTAACAGTTTCGTTACAACAATGAAGGCAGCACTGGTAAGTGGCATAATGGTGATACCTATATGCTTTTTTTTTTATAACAAAACATTGTGGTCCATTCTATGGGAGGAAGTTTTATGGAGGCTTACAATTTTTGCCAGTCCGGTGCATCAACGATTTTTCCTTCTTGTCAGAGATCAAGGTCAAGAGCAATTGAAAGCAAGTGTATCAATCCTTAAAAACTACCCCCCTATTTCAGAATCACTGTAAAAATTGGTTTTAAAACTTTAACCTATTAAATAGTACATTACTGAATTGAAATCTTATTTACTGAGTATTAAAATATTTATTTATTTATTGCACAAATCACCCTTAAAAACTACCCCTTGTCCTAAGTAATATATTTTTTTTTATCAGTTTTAATTAATTAGAATATTTTTTAATAGTTACATTTTCACTTTTCTCAAATTAAAAACACAAATAAAATATTTTTAAGAGAACTACTAAAGATACCATGTGTATTTTAGTCTACTTTTGGAAATATACTGAAATATTCAAATGACACACACACCATTCTAGAAAGACACCACGTTTTCCAAATAGGTCTTTTAGGTCACAGTGACCACAATTACATTGGGAGTGCATAGCCTCAAAAACCTGAAATTATATTAATATATTCCCGTAAATTTACAAGGAGTATGCTACTAGGAACTTGATCTTTTCCGGTGTACGATAATACGTCCAAATTTGGGATTAAACCGGTTATTTTTACGACAAGGTGTTCTTCGTATAATTTCCGCCACGATTTTTAATTATCATTGAATACATGGCACTGACAACAAAACTCAAAAAACACGTTAACTTTTATAAAATTGTGGATTTGGCACTTTAATTAAATTTTTGGGTTTGGATTTATGAAGGAATATACGCCCATAAGGCGCGACGAAAATTAGATTTGCACTGACGGACTTTAAAGAACAGCTCAATAAATTATGAAGTTATATTTTTTTTAAGCATGTAACTGCTTGATGTTTAAATCTAAAGAAAATATAACTAGAAAAAATTCCACGCGGACTTCAAATAAAAAAAATTAACTATAATTGCTAGTTCTTCTTTCAAATGATTAATACTTGTAAAAGTATTCATTTGACATTGTGGGTTACCTACAATGCGAAGAAATGGCGCTGCCTTGCAGCTTAAGAATGACCAGAGGAATTTCGACGCGACCGTCAGAGCCACGGTAGCGTAATTGGTCAGTGCATTCGTCCGGATTGCGAAGGGTGCGGGTTCGAGTCCCGTTTACTGCCTGGTCCGCGTGGAATTTTTTCTAGTTATATTTTCTTAAGATTTAAACACGAGGTTAATTTTTAATAAAAAATAAAATAGAATAATAATATTGAATAATGGTTTGAGGATGAATTCAACGTTTCATTAATGCATAATAATCTATTAACAAACTGGCATAATAAAATTAAATTAAACAAGCGAACTGAAATCGTAAACCATGCGAATGGAAATTACTTGCTTATGTTATCTAGTGCGACAGCAAAACACTAGTGATCAACCGCTTCGGTTACTGATGTAGCACTATTGACTTTTTCGTGATATGCGATATGAATAGGTATAATTTACTCAGATAATGAGATATTCATAATTTCTTAACCAGTGGCAGAAATTGGGCAGAATAAAGGACAAGCATATTCTTTGTTATATCAAAATAAATACACTTGTTAACTGATGATATTATTTCACAAGCATAGTACGTTAATCATCTTTCAAAATATATAGACAGTGATGTAAAATCATAGCTTAGTTTGGAATTATTAAAGGTAGAAAGTGTGATTCTGGTTACTGGACAGCTAATGGAAATAGGAGACCCACTTAGAAAAAAAAAACATTTTGGATGATGTTTTACCAAATTAAGTGTATATAATTATATTTCTTATTAAATAATTGCTAGAACTAATCCCAAAAAAATAATCAACCTCAAAATATTACAGACTTAGAAGACAATTGGCATGGACGCTCGAAAATCAATTCAGCTGAGAAAGACCGAAAAGTGCTATTCAAATAAGAATAGGAAAGCCAATGACTTCATCTGTCAAATGTCGTTTAAAAAGTACGGTTTGCAAAAAAATCTTGGAACCGTTTAGCACTCAGCTAATTCTACAATAAAAAAAAATGGGTGCGTGTACTTATGTAGGCGCGTGAGAAGTTATGCTTCTTTGGCATCGTTTAAAATTAGTTTTTAATAGCATGCAAATAATTAATTACAATAAATTAATAAAAGGTCTGGAAAAGGACACAGTCAATAAAGTTCAGTTTTAATTTGAAAAAATAAATAAATAATCAAAATATTCAATTAAAGTCGCTACTGAATATAATTTATTAGAACATATGTGATTTGCACTTGTATGAAACTCAAACACGTATTCCGAATATACAAACTAGAAACATGTGGATAAATATTATAAATATGAATACCTATAACTGTTACTTTATTACAAAAAATAAAGATGTGGTTTTTGGTTCTACTACACCAATGGTCAAGAGATGGCGCTGTAGTCTCCTGAATCGCGCTTTGGTTCCGTTGTTCCAGATTAATAAATACTTTTGATAGGCCTTCACAATGCAGTCGTGAGCACCCACTAAATAGAGATTCTATTTCTATTTTGTTGGTAGATTTTCTAAATGTGCGGTAAACACAAAAGTAACAGCATGAAGTTGGTCGCTTTAGCGACATGCTGTTAATTTTTTGTGTTACAGTGATGCGCGCGCATCTTAAAATTTCACTCTCACCACTTTTTCATAAAGCGCCTAAAGAAGTATAACTTCAACAAAACATTTGTAAACAAACAATAACAAATATGGATAATTAGTATCGGTAGACTTTTTTTTTCATTTATTGAGCTTTGGCTATGAATGGTTGATAACCTAAATCGTCAACCAAATGTCACTTTAAGTTGCGTTCAGAAACTCGATTTAAAACTTTTTTTACATAAAGGATGCATGTTCGTATGTGACCTAGTAATAGTGCATGATTATTCATAACTACTCCGGCGGTCGTGCAGAAATGAGCGGAATTTGAAGGGCTAGATTCTGATTAATGTTTTTTCTCACAGTCTTAATAAATAAATATTATTAAAAATCGGTTTTCCCCCCAATCTTAGTAAATAAATTTTATTAAAAAATCTGATGTTTTTCTCAGTTAATCTTGGTAAATAAGTTTTATTAAATAAAAACTTTATTTTGCTCACTCTACCTATTTGGTTTGTATTGACAGTTATAACGCCACATTATGGCGCCCAGTCGGTCCTATTCTTAGTTGAATCGCATTTATATTTATACAGCATCGCATAGAGACAGAACCTCTTCAGATTTGGTCTTCTATTGTCTAGAAACTAAATCTGATAACAATCCTGTTCATGTTCATGTTATAAACTTTTATTTTGCCAGGAAGTTGACGCATGCTATGTATTTGGCTACATTATGTGTACTTATTTACATTTATAATTATTACAGAATATTAGAACTTATTGAAAAATTATTCTTTTATAGATTTTCCTCGCCGTGGTGGTGACAATGGCTTCAGCCGCAGGTACGTAAAATTTTGAAATTTGTTAATCTGGATTCTTTACACCTGTACTAATTTTACACTTCTGCTTTCATAATAATACTTTAACATACCTAGATTTTTGACCAAAAAAGTTTTTTATATAGTTAAGTATTTCATTAAATACGTAACTCTGTGTGATTAATGTAAAAAAAACGATTAATACATATTTTTTTATTTTATTTTTTTATAGGAGTTAGAAAGAACTACAACCCAAGCGGTAAGATTAGTTGACATTAAAACAAGTGTCTTATTACTTAATTAACTTTCTTCACTTTCTTAGAAGCATGTCAAAGCCTAGAAATTATTTACCCTATTACCACAAAAAAATAAGTCATGTGGTCATGTGTTCAACGCGAGTCTAAGAAAATTTGTCAGACAAAATTTCTTAGACTCGCGTTGAACGCAGGACCACATGACTTTTTTTCAGAGACTTTTGGTCATACCAGCTTAACAACTAGACAATGAGGATCCGTAACGATTTTAGGTGAGAATGCAGATGTATAGAGGTAAGGATTTCATAAAATAGTGGTAAAATTTGTGTTCCACGACGAATATTGACGAATTCCTGACCAAATTATTAAACGAATTTTCGGCTGGCCGCGTGGTGGCTGTGACGTCACAGAGCTCTAGCGCGGGCGCGAGCGTGCGCTCCTAAAGTTCGACCGGAGTGAACCACGATCGAGCTCTGTGGAGTCACAACTTTCGGCCGCCGGTGAATATTGGCTACCGTAAAATCTATATATATAAAAATGAAACCCGTTTTCCGTTGTCACGACATAACATGAAAACAGCTTGACCGATTTGGCTGATTTTTTTTTAGAATATTCCTTGAAGTACGAGGATGGTTCTTACGAAGAGAAAAATTAAAAAAAATGCCTGAAAATGTCAAAAAACAAAATTTTCTTTACTCCCATACAAACGATTCGTAATAATACTTAAAAGTCAATTTGAACTTTAATACCATACCATAAATTTCAAATGTTAGTGGAGAGATTCTGGAAAGGCAAAACAATTGAGCGACGTGATGTCAATAGAAGTTTGGAAAAGATAAATATACCATCTTCAGTTTTTTTATAATCTATATATATATAAAACTTAAAGGTGACTGACTGACGTAGTAATCTATCAACGCCCAGCCCAAACCACTGGACGGATCGGGCTGAAATTTGGCATGCAGGTAGATGTTATGACGTAGGCATCCGCTAAGAAAGGATTTTAATCAATTCTACCCCCAAGGGGATAAAATAGGGAATGAAAGTTTGTATGAAACTTTGTCAATTTTAAAACCGAACGGGCTGAGACTTTGCATACAGGTATAAGAATAATCATAGATGAATGTCATTGTGTATAAAACAAGCCTGAGAACAAAAACTGTAGTCTACGCTTCAGCTCTACACCGAAGCGAAGCGAGGGCGGGCCGCTAGTTAGTAATAAAATCGCAACGCATGAACCGATTTCGATTATTTAAAAAGAATAATAATTAAAAAGCATATTAGATCATTATACTGTTTATTTTGAGTTGATTTGCTGACCTAGTAATGATCCTCATCAGTCTAGTTGTTAACCTCATTCATAAATACAAAATTATGCAGTTACTGTTTAATAATAATACATTTATGCGTCCCATTAGTCACATCACAGCGTACCGTTGCTATGGTTTGACAAAATATCATTTTAACATCACTTCTTTCCTTTGATATCACTCTATTTGTTCTTTGTTTGTTCAGGTGTCAACTTTGTGGACAATTCGCCACCAATAAACGGAAATGGGGGTAATTAATCGTATTTTTTTCTTATTTAACTATCTGTTATTAGGTAAAAAGCAAAGTTATCGAAATACATTTTGGAATCACAAAAAAAGGATGGATGAATTTTGTCTGTATCATCAGTCTATCCATAATGTAATACAGTGATGTCGATTCTAGCATCAATCTCTAACCTTAAATTTGGCAACAGTGTATCCTTGTAATTTTCTATAGAGAATAAAAAGGAGAGAGTGAATTTAAATTTAGTTTTAAGTTTAGAGAAGCATGCCAGAATCGATACCAGTATCTAGGTACAATGTATTGTTCTTTCACAACTCAATCGAAAGTTCGCCACTTCGATTTCAACACGCAGACAAATTAATAAAATTAATTAATTTAAAGAATAGTAAAACGGAAATATTAAAAAAAAAATAAGTGCAGTATTCCAATCGATATTTGTAGAAAAGTTTCTTTTCAAAATGTTTTAAACGTATATTATGCCCTATGTAACATTTACGAAGAATCCGTAACCATAGCACGAACTATGGTTATTGGTTCGTGCTAGGGGTAGAGTACCCCTAGCACAAACCAATAACGGATTCGAATATTTTTCTTCGACGTGGCGAAAGATATCTAGATTTTTGACCAGAAAAGTTTTTTATATAGTTAAGTATTTCATTAAATATGTAACTCTGTGTGATTAATGTAAAAAAACGATTATAACATATTTTTTTATTTTCTTATTTTATTCTAGGAGTTACAAATAACTACAACCCAAGCGGTAAGATTAGTTGACATTAAAAAAGTATCTTATTACTTAATTAACTTTCTTCACTTTCTTAGAAGCCTGTCAAAGCCTAGAAATTATTTACCCTAATACCACAAAAAAATAAGTCATGTGGTCATCTGTTCAACGCGATTCTAAGAAAATTCGTCAGACAAAATTTCTTAGACTCGCGTTGAACGCAGGACCACATGACTTTTTTTCATGAGTTATAAAATCGCAACGAATGAACCGATTTCGATTATTTAAAAAAAATATTAATTAAAAAGCATATGAGATCATTATACTGTTTTTTGAGTTGATTTGCTGTCCTAGTAATGATCCTCATCAGTCTAGTTGTTAACCTCATTCATAAATACAAAATCATACAGTTACTCAGGTGACATCATCTTAAATAATGTAAACAGGCGTAACAGCATATTCTCTCGAGTGTTTAATAATAATACATTTATGCGTCACATTATTCACTTCACAGCGTGCCTATGCTATGGTTTGACAAAATATCATTTCAACACTTTTTAACATCACTTCTTTCCTTTGGTATCACTCTATTTGTTCTTTGTTTGTTCAGGTGTCAACTTTGTGGACAATTCGCCACCAATAAACGGAAATGGGGGTAATTAATCGTATTTTTTTCTTATTTAACTATCTGTTATTAGGTAAAAAGCAAAGTTATCGAAATACATTTTGGAATCACAAAAAATGGATGGATGAATTTTGTCTGTATCATCAGTCTATCCATAATGTAATACAGTGATGTCGATTCTAGCATCAATCTCTAACCTTAAATTTGACAACAGTGTATCCTTGTAATTTTCTATAGAGAATAAAAAGGAGAGAGTGAATTTAAATTTAGTTTTAAGTTTAGAGAAGCATGCCAGAATCGATACCAGTATCTAGGTATAATATATTGTTCTTTCACAACTCGATCGAAAGTTCGCCACTTCGATTTCAACACGCAGACAAATTAATAAAATTAATTAATTTAAAGAATAGTAAAACAGAAATATTAAAAAAAAAATAAGTACCATTTTTTGATTGATAGTAATTAAATTAGAATTTCAGTACACATGCAACTATTTATTTATTCATCTTAAACTGTATATTTTTTCTACAGGTGTTAAAGTCGTTGACAACAACCCAGATGATGGACAACAAGGTGGTTCTCAATTTAACTCATTTTATTAATTTTATTTTCACTAAAGTTATTTTATTATACATTTTTGATAAAAGTTTTGCTTCGGTTGGGTTTAAGAAAAATAACATTTTTATCTTATTTTTCCAGTTCACATTGTCGATAATGGTGAGTGATTTATAATTTAAAAGACAGTATAGAATGCTCTCTTCCTATTTTGAAATGAAATGCGGTCTTGACAATAAAGAGGAAAGAGACATTTTATTTATTTAACGAATATACTTCCTAATAATATACTTAGCGTCAGTTAATATTTATTTATTATTTTACAGTTGATCCGCTGTTCAATCAACCACACAAACGTGAGTACTGATATTACTTATAATAAGTATACTCAGTAGCTACCTTGTGTACTCTCAATCCTTATATTTGACTCTAGGGGTTGAATCTTGAAAATCCCTGCAATAGGCGTGTGATTATTTTAATTAGGAGTGTTTTCACAAAATTTTGAGTTAATCGACTCAAAAATAAATAAAAAATCCAAACAAACTTTCAACCCCTATCTAACACACTAAGAGGGAATATTTAAAAATCCTTTCCTAATATTTATCTACCTTTAATAAAATGTAACTATTATCCAAATTTAATCATTCTATGAAGGTTCAGGGGTTTCGTCTCCACGTTAACAAGTCAGTCAGTCAGATTCTCATTCTCTCTTTGATGAATGATGATGATAAGCTGAGGATTATAATTAGATTTTTGTTTACCAATTAATTCATACTGATGAACTACAACATTGTTTTTTCTTTTATTTACAGCTGAAGGTAGCTACGAACCAATCGGTAAGTTTAGATTTCAAAATCACTAAAAATATTTATTAAGTAGTAAGTTTTTTTTTATAACGAGTAAATTTAGATTAAATTATAAAACAAATCCCCTAATATTTTCAGCATTGTTTTCTTTTAAATCCTATTATTATTTATTTCAGACATCGGGCCGGCAATTGTAGAACCACAACAAGGATGTGAGTATTAATATATATATATATATATAACATCATCACTGCCTAATGTCCCTGGGACCAGTGCGTATTATTCATTGCTATTTATTAAACCCAGTATTCTATTAGTAAACATTGTTGAGCATTGTCAATGAAAAGCCACAATGCAACTTAAATGAATGCTGCAACTTTATAACACAGTGTTGCCAGCAACTAAAGAAATGTGTTTAAGTGGATTTCCTATTTGATACAGTGCATGCGCCCGTGAAAGCAATCGAAACCCTGCAGAACACCACGGTAAAATAATATCTAATACCGTTTGGTGGTGTAGCGTTTCTGTTGGTATGTAAGGTTCCACGGTTCTGATATTCAGGCTGGCATAGGTAGATAGCTGAATCGAACATAAATACTGCATCAGTTGTTTTTGAGACTGGCCCACACTTACGTAATGTAAGTGTGGGCCAGTCTCAAAAACATCATCAGACTTGACATCAGATTTGGTAGGGTAACAAACTGCTGCTTGTTTATCGGAGAAAATATGTTGTTCATTTGAAAACTAACACGTTGTTCTAAATTTGTTAAACATAATGCTTACCAAGCACTACAAATGACCGATTAATGATTAACCAAAACTGACAAATTTTACGACTAAGTATACATACACCTATTGTAATCCGGCCATTCGGAGACGGGTGCCGCGACCACACCCGCCCTCTCGGCACGCACTAGGGGGACCGCGGTCCTCATAGACTGAACTACACTTACATTACAGTAATTTACACTTTATGTCAGATAAGGTAGGGTAAAATACTGCAGCTTGTTTAACGAAGAAAATATGCTTTTAATGATTAACACGTTTTTGCAAATTTATTTATAAACATAATGCTTACCAAGCAATACAAATGACGAAACTATTGATTAAGCAATACTGTCAATTTTTTCGAATAAGAAGGCACGGTAAAAATAAATGGAGAAATTTAATTATCTCAAGTTGAAGATCCATAAATACTTAATCCTAGAACTAAGAGAATATTAAGCAAAGCTTTCGGTATTGTGTTTTAGACATGTTAAAGTTGTTTTGTAGGTAGGTATACACCTATTGATGTATTATTTTTATATCAACAGGTTCCAACGGGGGATATGAACCGATTGGTAAGTATTTAAAAATATTAAGTTTATTCCCATTATTCAAAATTAAAATAAAACCTACAACTTTATAGTTTTCTATACTTAGGTCCACTTGCAGAAAGTTTGCTAAATCTAAATTTCTACAACTACTACAACTAGATTTAGGCTGTACAGTAATGGAAAATTACATGCTAGTTTTTTCATTTTTCTATGGGTTTAAGCTAGTTTTAGATAAATCGAGATTTAGCAAATTTACTCCAAGTGGGCCTTATTGTACATTTTCGGATTTTGAAAGTTGTAATTCAACGTTTTCAATTTTAGCACTTTGAGAAGTACCTACCGGTCCATCTCTTATATTATAACATATGTTTTTATATTTCAGGTACTGGCCCAGCATATGTTGGAAATGACAGACCCAAACAATGTAAGTTAAAGACTGTATTAAAGTATTTTTCGTATTAACTATTAATATTTTACACGGATCAATTATATTTGCAGGGTATTTTGATATTTCTTGCGTTTAAAGCCCCCGAATTTAGTCTTACATTGGTTCCTACTTATTGAATTTGTGTTACATATACCTAAGTTAGTACTTCGTCGGTCATCTCATATAATGGTACAGAGACTTAGATTAAAACAAAAAGTTTTAATCTAAGTACAGTGATATCACCAAAAATTCAGCCGAAGTTTGAATTCTAATGATTGAATTTTCGACGTTGTTTTAATCCATAAAAGTTAATGTAAATATGAAAATGACAATGGATTCTTTTTAATTTTGCACCAATGCACAAAGCCCAATACTCGTATTTCAATGCATTTCTGCATACAAAGCTTACTTATTTAAAATAGAATTGTCTAAAAAAATATATTGAACTTATTCGTTTTGCGGCTGAAACTTCGGTGCCACACTTCACACCATTCAAATAACATTTTATAATACTACTAGTGGCTCGCCCTCGCTTCGCTTCGGGGTAGAATTGATCAAAATCCTTTCTTAGCGGATGCCTACGTCATAACATCTACCTGCATGCTCAATTTCAGCCCGATCCGTCCAGTGGTTTAGGCTGTGCGTTGATAGATCACTATGTCAGTCACCTTTGAGTTTTATTTAAATAGATGAAGTGAGACACCGCATATCTCATGTGTAAATAGTCTCAAAAGAGAACCATTTACTACGAAGAGAGGTCTTAGGTTTAGGTCTTCTTTTCCGGAATGTAAAAAAATACTAAAATTTATTAAATATGATGTAGGTACCAGGGCAACATTACTCCGAACGAGGTATTTGTTCATTTAGTCCAAGGTACTAGTTTGCCCGTTAATCCAACTTAAATCCATACTACAGTACCCCTTGCACGAACCATTATCGAATTCGAATAGTTTGCAAACCGAAATGTCAATGTCAAATTTTGTGTGGAAACTTGAACAGCAGTGGCACAAAGTACGTAACGAGAACTAAAAATCAGTACACATTTGACAATGACATTTCGGACTTGCAAACGTTACGAATTCGATATTGGTTCGTGCTAAGGGTGCTGATAGTAGGATTAAACGGCTGTTTTCTCCGTTTATTCCAACTAGTAGAACTAAACGGATACAATCGATAAAAAATATGATTCGGAAAATCTGTAGACAATTTAAAAACTTGAATTTCTTATTTTTTTCAGTTCCCAACCCCCTCGCTCGCGGTGGCAAGTAAACAAAGACGGCGTTAAAAGAACTCCTACATACTTACCTAGTACATAAGTGAAAATAAACGAAATTGTAAATGTATTGAATTGTTTGTTTCCTTTTACTCTCAATATAAAATCTAGTTACGTAGCATTAAAAAAATAGCTTTTTATTCAAGTTTTTTTTTATTATTCTATCCAACCCTAATGGCTCAATTAAACTTGGTCGTTAGCACAAATACGATTGCCAATGGAATGGGTATCCATATCGATTTTAGTTGAGAATGCAGATTTATAGAGCTAGGGATTCCAAACAATACAGTGGTTAAATTTTTGTTCTTAGACAAATATTGACGAAGTTATGACCAAATTACTAAATCAATTTTGCGTGTGACGTGGTGACTGTGACGTCATAGAGCTCACGCACGCTCAGGTGCGTGCATGCGTAGAGACGCTACTAGAGTTCGACCGGAGTGAACCACGATCAAGCTCTGTGACGTCACACGTTTCTGCCGCCGGTGAATATTAGCTACCATAAAATTAGTTATAAAATCGTAACGAATGCACCGATTTCGATGATTTTAATAGTAGGTATATTAATTAAAAAGCTTATTAGATCCTTATAGTGTTGATTTTGAGTTGATTCACTAACCTAGTAATGATCCTCATTCGGGTAAACGACTAAGTGTAAATGAACGGAGTCGAGTACGCCCGTATTATTAGGGTAGGTAGTTTTCGTTTTGGTTACCCGACACCGTCTTCCAGTGTAAATATTGCTTCGGGTGCCCGAATTTGAGATTCATTGGTGCTACATTACCTACTGATAGAATTTGGTGTTACTTATACCTAAGTTAGCACTTCTTCAGTCATCTCATATACAGGTACAGAGATATGACCAAAAATTCAGCTGAAGTTCGAATTCGAATTATTGTATTTTTGACCTTGTTTTTTTTATATTTGTAAATAAAATTAATTATCTATATACCAAATTTTATCTAAATCGAGGAGGTAACAGGAAAACAAATACACTTTCGCATTAAAATATAAGTATGGAAATATGGATATAGAGATTGTACCCCAGGGTCAAGGCTACATATATGTAGGACTCAACTTTCGCAAATATGTGTGTAGCCAGTAGTTGCTGCAATAATGTAGTACTTATTTATTACTTATGTAGGTACATTACGAACCGCAGAACAATATCAATGGCAACATCTGGTTATATTTCACCCTGTCCATCGGATTTCTGTGTTTGAAGGTTTGATTCTGACTGTTACACTAGGAACCATATTTTTAATTGCCTTATTGACAAATCACACTAATATTATAAAGGTGATAGTTTGTGAGTATGTGAGTGTGTATGTTTGTTACTTCTTCACGTCTAATCGGCTGCAGCGATTTTAATAAAATTTGGTATATAGTTAGCTGATGCCCTGGATTAACACATAGGCTACGTTTTACTGCGGGCAAATATCCCTAATAAACCGCGAGTAACACCGCGGGGCACAACTAGTTTACCATAAAAAGCATACGGTTCCATCTGGTCTCTCTAAAGAAGAAGCATATTAGAAATCTAGCCGTTGAACTATCAAGATATATATACGCTCTATATGAACATCAGAAAAATACCGACAAGAAAAATCTGCAATGACTGCATATTACGCTTATACTCATGCTTGGTTACAACAGGTGTCACTATTTGAGGAAGGAGTACAAAGGTGATACAACTTTTCAAATTACAAAAACCGGCCAAGTGCGTGTCGTGCGTGACACGCGCAGTGTAGGTCCGTAGTTGCCTGTAGTTATCACAATTTATGTCAGTAGGAGTTTTATTTTCTATATCGGGAATTAGAAAAACCAATTAATATTAATCTATGCATCCCAACTAAAATACCTAAATCAAAGTCAAACTGCGTCTCAAATTCAAAATCAATTCGCCGATTTTTTTTGTTTCCTCCCAGGCGGGGGAGCGGTTGTGAAATCCTCATGGATGCCCTACAGCCGGCAGCAAGGTTATGTCAGACTCTTACTGACTAAAAGTCTCATCTGAAGCGCCGATCTTTTCAAGTGCTTATATACTTTTTGTTAAACTAACTACTCACGGCAGCGTTGTGGAACTAATGATATTTTATTGTAGTTTTTAAATAGTTTTTTAATTGTTGCAATGAAAGGTTTTACGCTACATAACTTCATCTATGTCACTTTTATGGAATTTTCAATAAGTAAGAAATTTTCTTTAACCAAAGTTGAACGACTATTACTCTTACACTTACAAATCTATCTTAACCATTATTGTTTTCCTTAAAAGTTCATGAAAAACATTATTATCATGAATTTTCCCAGGTTTTTCAAGCCAATAGTTTAGCTTTTAGAATGGGTGGGACGCCCTACTCGAACACAAACTAGGACTTTAAAGTTCAATATTTTGCTAACGGATCCCTTAATAAAAAAAAAAGTCTTATAAACCCCTAAGTTATTTTAAAGGATCTATTTAGAGATATCCCACACGATGTAGATGATGAAAAACAGGTTACACGTAGGGGAGCTACCCTAAACAAAAAAAATCTAAATTTTATTCTACCATTTTGTCGGCGTGATTGATCGTACACTAACGTATCTCAACAAAATTACAGCTCTCTAGAGCTTATAGTCTCCAAGCAAAACCAGGGATGGACAGATGGACATGACGAAACTGCAAGGGTTGTAAGGACTACGGAACCCTAATAAAGATGCCTTCATGATTAATATAGACCAAATGACAAGTAATATAGACCAAAGTCCGAACACGATAACTTTACAGTCAATAATCTAGTCACGATAGAAAAACTAGATCTGGCAGCCAATTAAAAACATTCAAAAATGTTATAAATATCATGCAAGAATCTTTTGTTTGAAGAATTTTTTTGTTTTATTTTGTTTGTGGAGTGAATAAAAGAGAGAATATAAGAGTCGAAGAAGTTATTTATTAAATAATAAGATATAATAAATCTGCAAAAGAAGAGATGGAGTCGGTTCTCATGAAAAGAGAGCAATGTTATGAAGATACCTAACTTCAACGAGTTAGTAGCAATTAATTTCTTAATACTAGTTTGTTTTAGTATTGCTACTTTTTATTAACATTTCAACAGTTACATTATACACCTATACATATATCTAAAATTTAGTTTTCACATAAAGTAAGATAATAAACTATTGTTTTAATTGTGGACAAACAGTTTCGTAGCATTTATTTTATAAAAGAATAAGTTCATAAAACATATTAATTTGTAGTAGTCATTACACTCCCAACATTTTATCATTACTCTAATTCTAAAATTGTTTTTAGGTACTTTATTTACAGATGATCGTATAATAATAGGAAATGCTTTGCAGAGTTGACCATATAAGAGAAAGAAATGAGGTTGATTATGAAGGGAGAGGGGATATCAAGAAGAAACGAAAGAAAAGAAAGTTGACGAGGACATTTAATATCAATGAATTAAAGTTTTGGATTCGGATTTTTCACTAAAATAACAGAGTAATTTAAATTTTTGAGAAAAAATATTTTTCTTTTTTATTTTATATACCTAATGGTAAAATAAGAATAATCGAAATCGATCTCGAATATACTTATGCGCGAACATCAATGAAACGATTTTTGACAATTTTTTTTTAACTTTTATGAGCCAAAAATCCAAAATAGTATTGACTATGTGGCATGCTAAGAGCAATTATTATTTGTTCCTAGCTGGAATGCATTACCTGTTTTAGTTTTCTTAAAATAACGAAACAGAATATATTTACTATACTGTGCTAATTTAAGAGTTTCCTCGTTTCGTCTCCCAAAGTCCTCAAAAGATATTCGCCCAATTAATATGAGACCATCTCGACAAAAAACTGATTTAAACAAAAAACCGGGCCCAGCGCGAGTCTAGTATCGCTCTATTTGGATTTCGCGCAGTGAAATAATCCTGTTATTGAAGCTACCTAATATCACTGAGATATGAACTAGTGCGTTTCCGAGCTCTTAGTCCAAGATTTTTAGATGTCCTCTATGCATAAAATCCTTCTACGTTATTTTTCGATTGGATTATGTCGGAGGGTGCCCCCCAAGTATAAAACCGAGTTTCTGTCGCCCGAAACTGCGAGCGTTAGCCGCCATCTTGGAAACCGTTTTTTTGCATATATCTCGGAAACGGTAAGTTTTACGTTAAAAACCGAAGAGATTTTTTTTGTAGAGAACAAAATTTCCCATCTTTTTTATACCAAACTTTTCCCCCTATTGTTGATATTTTCCGATATATTGAAGTAAAAAAACCAAATTTTTTGTTTTTGTAAAGTAACTCAATAATTTTTGGAGATACGAAAAAAATGTTTGCATTAAAGTTGGAGAGCATGAAATTTTCTACAAATTTTGTATAAAACTTTTTCTTGCAAAATGATTAGTTGCTGAGTTCTAGCGCAATAAAAGATCATGAAAATCAGCGGTAAGTGGCAATACGTTACTCTCGCATGCAAACAAAAAGTATAAGTAAATTCGATGTCTCCGCGTAAAGTATTGTTTTACAGAAGGTAAGCAATTTAAGTCGGAAAGCCGTTAAAATGAAAAAAAAAATTCGTAAAATTAAAAAAAATTAATAAAATTCTTCCGGTTGTAAACAACGAAAAATTTTATAAATCTAACATCGACGAATAAAATTTATCAAATACAATTTATTAAATTAATATTCTGCGATCCTGATTTGTAAACAGCGAGTTATATCGCGCAAATGATAATGAATTTGGATACATGAATAAATTTTCATTCCTTTTTCCAATAATTCGTTAAAATATTTTTATTGTGCAAAATTTCCTTTTTAATCTTTCATTTCCCTCCTTTTCACGATAAATAAAATCGTTACCGTCTTCATGATAAAATTTTTCGATTATACTTTTTTGTTTGCATGCCAGAGTTGTCGGGTAGCAACAAAATGAAACTGGAAATGAAAGGAAGGAAAAATCAAAAGAACAGTATAGGAATATATATTTACAAGATAAAGTAGTATTTACAGATTATTAAAAAAATATGGAATGTGTGTGTAGTGTGGGTTGTGAAGTGGGCGTGGGTCGTCGGCGATCTTCAGGGGCGG